GGGTCTGCTCTTCCCCGGCTGAGCAAAACAGGTCTCACGATTTTATTTACAAAGCCGGGGCTGATGCCACCTCGTTAGCATTATAGAACAGATTCCGCACACGCTTTTTTATTATGCAGCTTGGCGGCTGCTGTGTGAGACTGCGGAATATTTTACTGCTTTGTGGCTCACGTTCAATACGGCAAAAAGAAAAAAAAAAAAGGAAAAGTTGACGAAAATCCTGCTTTTTTTTGTTTTTTAAAATGCATCTTTGTTTTCAACGGGCCTCCTGCTGTGACAGAAATGTTAATTAAACTGAAACGAAAATAAATTAACCCCACCTAATATGAAAAGCCTTTGAAGGGAAAGCATCAGCCTAAAAACTGGCCGGGGAGGAGCTGGTCGTGCCCGCCCCTCCTGCCCGTAGGTGCTGGCAGGGGCAGCTTTGGGGGTGCTGGCAGGGCACAGCGTCCCTGGGTAAAAACCCAAGACTTTTGGCTCATGTGTCAAACAGAGCACAATTTAACAGCCAGGTTGTGGCCCGTCCAGACCAAAACTATAGATGAAATGTTATTATTTTTAATAAAATGGCAGTGAAGTCCAACTCGTGAGGGCCAGGCTACCTCCATCTACCTTGAAGCCCAGCTGAGGTTACCGGTTACCCACCAGTCACGGGCATTCCCGCCTCCAGCTCGCCTCACACATCCGCGGGGGCTGGAAATACCTGGCAACCAACCCCTCCGCCCTGCCGGCCCCGGCCGCATCCCTATAAATGAAAGAAAGGGCCGGCCTGGCCGCGGCGCAGCGCCTACTTTGATGTGCGGTAATGGACTTCGCTTTTAATTCGGGGTTGTAACTTCCATCCCGATGCAAAACCGGGAGCTGCGGAAAAGCTGCATGCATAATAAGGGGTGAAAGCAAGGATGCGGCGCGAGATGCGTCTGATGTTGGATGAGAGGGAAGATAGCCTTTAATCATTTTGTTTTCAAAGAAGCTTTAGAGAGCTCTTTGAAGATGAGGCTTTTTGAGAGCTGCTCCTGGAAAAAGAGGAGGCAGTGATACACGGGCGCCCACCTCCTGCCCATGTTGCCCGCCCCCTTGGCTAACCCACGGGTGGGAGCTGGTGGGTGCATAGGCACGCCTGTGCCCCCCGCCTTCAGCATGCGGCCCTCCGGGCTGGCAGCCGGTAACCTGCTGCAAAGCCACGCTGATCTCCTGATGCCCGTCGGGGCGAGACCCCAGTGGCGACAGCAGCACAGAACAACCGCCCCTGTGCCTCTTCATTTGGGGCAGTCACGGGTCCCCAGCGCGTGGAGCCAGGCACACAAAAGGACCGGTGGCTAGAAGAGGAGGGATGCCCTCCCTTTAGTGACAATGAGAGTATTTTTGTAATGATAATGTTCTGTAAATCGTGTCTTGCTGCCGTTGGATGAAAGGGAATGATAATGAACATCCGATCAGACTTTATTTTGAGGCAAAGCATCCTGATGGAGAGGCGTGGAAGCTGTGCCCGTCCTGTTAGTGCGGCGTTTGGGGTGGGAGAAGGCGAGAGTCATGTGTCACCCACCCGCTGCGGTCAGGCTGTGTGGCACCTGCACGGGCGGTTTCTTTATGGGCTGGGACCCGGCACGGCAGGCGTCTTCGCCCACACCTGAAGGCACCGAGGGCTTGAGCAGCACCTGGACGCCCCAGGCTGGGGAGGGTGGGTCAGCCCCACTCACCAGCGCTTGGCAGATGCCAGTAGCGTGCTTGGCTGTATTTTGAGGACTGAGGTCAGGATGCTGTTGTGTTAAATGCATCACGTACAAAATAAGCACATGGCTGCTCGCTCCAAAAATGTTACAGGCTGAGAGGAAAAGCCTTGGGGAATAGGGGTGCCAGCAGTCCTATTTCTACCTATTTTTACCAACTGGTTTGGCCTTGGTAAAACACCAGCCAGGCTGGCAAGTGACCGCAGGCTGTTGGGCCGTCAGTGGCATGCATTGCCCCTAAGCAATCGCGCCGAGCATGGTGTTACTGGTCGTGTCGGACGTTTTGTACATCTAGGTCTCCTCTCGTGTGGGTTGTAAAGTAAGTGTCTGCTGGCATTTGAGGTTATTTACAGATGCCACAGTGCCATGACAAAACAAGCCTAGGAAACAGACAAAATAAATGAATTACTGCCTCCCCCCCCATTGGAACAAGCCCTCCCCATTGGCATTGCAAGGGGCCTTGCTCCGGCTGGAGTAAGCGTGCACCGGGAAGCGGACAAACAGCAACACATCGGCACCCCTCCATCATGGTGACTCCCCACCCACCGCTTCGCCCAGCTGGGTCCTTACATGCCCAGCCCACCTCCCTGCGTTTTGTAGCGTTAAAACTGCACGAAGGTTTTTCACATCTCGAGTGCTGGTCAGCGTATGGCTCTAACAGATGCACTTTCCAGTCCCGTCAGAACAGGAGAAAGCAACTCCAAGTCCACATCTCCAAATTTGCTGCTGCACTTGGTACAAGTTCTGTGAATGTTTTCTGCAGCAATTTCCATTCCTGTACGTACAAACCCCCGACACTATTATTTTCAGACCGTGTGCCCATACCAGCACATTGAAGGTTAAGCTTGAAAGGCCTGAAAGAGATCTCATGTTTGGTGGGACCTGTCCTCTGTGCATTAAAACCAAAATCACTTTCCCCTTTCTGCCCTCTGGTCTGCAGCAGGTACTTAAAAACTGGCCTTGTTTTTGGAGGTGTGAATGCTCGGTGACAGGCTCCGCAGCTGGGGATGCAGCAAATAACACCTCGCAAGCGCAGGCTGCTTGGGGATTAAATGTGGCATTGCATGGTAAAAGCAAGGCAAATGACTTTGGGCTGTTTCGAGATAGCGTGTCGGACTCCTATTTTCACTTCTAAGTGATGCTGTGCTATTTTAGGCCAGGCCAAGCCTTGCCTTTGGTTTAATTAGGTTTATTGCTACAGCTACATGGCTGTGTGTATGTGTTAACATTTGATTTTTTTTTTTTTTAATCTAATGTAAGTGACTGAAATAAACAATCCAGACTTGATAGTCCCAGTGGGGGGACTGACATTTGGATTCGGCTCAAAATCTGTGCTTTTGACGCTTGTTAGGCTCCAACACCTCACTCAGAAAGCACGAAGCACAGGGCAGAGGAGGAGGGTGCTGCAGGGTAGAGCAATGCTGGCCACTTCCAACCTCATCCTCAACCTCATGCTTGGAGTGCTCCTCGGAGGTGCTCACTGCCATCACTGCGTCGGGTTTAGCTGATGGAGGGATCTGAAGAGGGGTGTTATAATGCCACTTAGGTATCAGTTTAATTAGCAGAGCTTGCAAAGTCTCCCTAGAAGGCACCTTGTGCCACCAAACCTGTACAGCCCCGCACTGCTGTGCCTGGGCTCCCCTCTGTGCCGTACCATCCCTGCTGAGCCTGTGCGTGAGAGACAAAACCAGCAAGGGCTGGGACAAAAAGAGAAGTATTTTGCACTGGCTTTGAGCCATGGAAGTCCCCCTGTGGCCCAGCAGGCCACGATCATGCCTGCTCGCTGCCTCTCCACTGCTCACTCCTACCCCGCACCATCACTCTTCTAATTTGGAAAAAAGCCTCGGGGATGGGAGAGCTGGGGCCGAGGGCTGAGGAGCAGGGAGCAGCCGTACAGCCCCCCTCTCCTTCTCCCTCCCCGGCCCAGGGCTCCGGGCAGGAGATGGTCCCTGCAGGGCCAGTAGCCCAGCACTGGAGAGCTGCCCCGTGCCGCCGTCTGCCCCGCTGCCTACGAAAGCACCGCACTCCCACTCCCATCAATCAGCACAGACCAGGTGCCTAGAAGCATCTCTTGCCAGTCGCCTTTTATTACCTTTAAAAAGCCAAGAAACCCAGAACAAGACAAAAACTGAGACCGTGTGAACATCATGCAATGGATTCACTTTAAAGCAAGCTGGGGGTGGGGGTGGGGTGGTGCACGGGGAGGGATGGATGGACAACCAAAAGCCATGTTAGAATAGAAGTATTGCTTCACCCGTGACTGAAGGCCAGATTGGGGGGACTGTCACTTGGTGGGGACGGTTGTGAGTGACCGGACCGATGCTTGAAGCAGGAAATGGAAACACACTCATGAGCCACCATCCCGGGTAACCCCAGATGCGATTCTGACCCAAATGCAATTTCTTATGTGGTGATGGCAGTGAGAAATACCTAACTCTTGCCATGGGTACTTTCCGCCTCAGCAAAGTCTCTTTGGAAAGGAGCAGCACAATGAATACTGTTACAAGTTGGGTTTTTTTTTTAGTTCAATTCTCTCACTTAGCGTGCCTAGTACTCCGGTAGTCAATTAGTGAAGTGGCTATTATCCAGCAGGAGTGAAGTTACCGCACTCTGCCCTTCAGTCCTACTCTGTCGTCTTCAAAATTCATAGCACAAACTAGAGTAATATTAGCTTCTCAAAAGAATGTGTTTTGGAGAGTTTCAGCTACCATGGAAATAACTTTGCATCTTGTCCATCATGTGGATGTGACAAAACACATGCCCTTATTTTCCTGAGGTATAGCCAACATTTGAGTTCATTACATTTAATGGAGTAGGGTCACCCATAAAGTTATTCATAAGGTATATTCTGAGTGGTTTTCACCTTCTCTTTGAAAAAATAAATTATATCAGCATGTTCACGAGGTACAAATAGTGCTGGCATTTCAGCTGTTATTATGTTATTAACTTTTTTAACCTAATAATTTTCAATCAACAGTAAGAAGCAATTTTCACTCACTCCAGTGACCAGAGTTGGAGATCCTGCGAAGTGTTCTCGTAGGGTTCACCTTGACAGACACCTAATTCCCTCCCAAATCGAAACATTACCCCCGACACTCCTATCACGGTTACTGAGAATTTCCATTTCCCCTTCGGTTAGGATTTAACTTCGAAGGCAAAGACTTCCTAAGCTATGGGAGAGTAAAGATAGATGGTATGGGAGAAGGCGGCTGATGAAATGTAGTTGACTCCGGATCTGAAATATTTTATCCCTCCTCAATGTAGGTTAAATTATTCTTCACCTTTCCCACATCCATAATTGTCGCTGATCTTGGACCAACTCAAAACCCTACTACTGAGTTCAGTAGACTCAAAATTGCCACTAGAACTGGAAAAAGAAAAAAAAAAAGAAGAGATTTGTTAGTGTCCATACACAATATCCCAAGACTATACACAGCTATGAGATACAGCAAATTTAAGAAAGGCAATTTTTTTCTCATCACTGAGTATTTATTATATATAACAAATACATGAAAAAGAAAAAACTATATTGTGTGATATAAATAGTTTATTTACATTACAGAAAAACATCGAGACAATGTATACTATTTCAAATATATCCATACATAATCAAATATAGCTGTAGTACATGTTCTCATTGGTGTAGATTACCACAAATGCAAGGCAACATGTGTAGATCTTGTCTTAATCTTTTGTCTATAATACTGTATTTTGTAGTCCAAGCTCTCTGCAGTTAGTTTTGCCATTGTGGAAACATGCGCTCTTTAAATTAACCTTGTCGATGCTCTTGTTGTGTTGTCTGAACTGTAGTGCCCTGTGTTTTGCTTCTGTCTGTGGATTCTGTTGCTCCTGGGACATTTCCTGGAAAAGAGAGTTGTGAGAATACACGGCTCTTAACAGCGCGTCTGCTCGACGGGCGGCACGGGCAGCGGGGGACGTGAGGGCGAGAGAGGAGTCCTCCGGCCCTCAGTGTGTTTCCTCTTCAATGAAATGAAATGGGCTGGTTAATGGCAACAGTACCACCGAAAAACCCCCAACCAACCCAACAAACAAACCACAAACCATATTGTAAACAAATATATAGCAAGGGAAATGTTAAGATTCCGGGTCCTTACTGGTGAGCAGTGGCAACTCTTCTGCATTGCGACAGCCCTGCCTGCACCGCGCCTTTCCTCTTTAAATAACAGATTTATTTTCAGCAGGGCGCAGGTGGAAGATTTAGGGCGGCCTCACGCTCACCTGTTCAGCGTCCCAGGTCTGTGAAGCATTTACAAAGTGGACGCGGGGGCTGCCTTTCTGAGGAGCTAAGCGTCCGCAATCCCGATGAGTCTCCATGGAAATGCTCCCGTGCTCATGTCGTTAGCAAGCAGCTACTTTACTTACGGGTGCCTGCACCGCACTACGCTCCTCACACGGCTGCTTGGCTTAGCATGGGAAGCAATCGCACTGGAAAGACCAAAACCTTATTTTCCTTTGGATGGCTGCAAAAGCAAATCTCTTCTGCCTTGGGACCTTACGGTGCTCCTCAGCAAGGGCACATTTCAACCTCTTACCCGCAGCAGTGTCGGCTATGGGGGCTGCTATGAAGAGCTTAAGGGAAAGGTAATAGCCTGTTTCTGATTTCCTCCCATGGAAAGGCACCCTTAGGCAGAAAGCATGGAGAAGCTCAGCCCCAGGTGGAGGCCGCAGGAAGTTCCAAGCAGCTGGAAGCCAAGGGGGTTAAAGCGGGAATTGCTGGGCAAGCAGAACCACAGCAGGGCGACCCCCACCCTCTAAAAATGCTCATCCTGTTTGCCTTTGTGGCATCGGTGGGAAAACGGTGAGCTACAGACAAACAGCCAGGAATAAACCCGGTCCTTCACCCAGGGTGACCTAGTTAACATTTTGCATGGGAGGAGGAAGAAGCTATTCCTAATTTGGCCACGCATTTGTCCTCTTTCTTCAGCTGAAGCCCAGTAAGAATTTTTAGCCTGGGTGCGCCTCTTTCTGCCCTCCGCGTGGGCAGCTGCACAAGAACGACTGAAACACCCGCTTGGAGTGGGGTAACAGAAAGCCCGACAATACCCCAAACCATACTGACATGGAAAAGAAAAACCCTCTCTTTGTACTGGGCTGACTTGTTTTGCTGTTAGAGGGAGGCTTTCAGCGGCACCTTGTGAAACCCTTTGGGTTACGCACCGGGGAGAGCCGACCCGTGCAGCGAGAGCCCCAAGCACTTGCCTTCAGTGCTGCGTCAAATAACTAACAGCAAAATGGAGCGAAATAAATTTTTACCGACCCCTTAAAATCAAAAAGGCCATTTTTTATTCCCTATCGAATGGGAGCGATGCTGTAGTTTTGTGACACCAACTGAAAGGCTAAACAAGAGCAAGAGCATAAGGACTTCCGAAGCCTTTAGAAATGCTAAAATACAATTACATAAGTGTCTAACAAAATATGGGTCAGATTGTCTTGACTTGCCTCACTTTTAAGCCAACGGGACCACCCCCTCACGATGAACTGTCGGGCTGAGCACTATATTTTGCCTCATTCCTTTCTTGGAAGCAGTAAAGTAGGCTGCTGCCATTACTCCAGGAAAAATAAGCCTGCATCTCCAGCGCTTTTGGAGGTCATGGCAGAGCTTTCATTATGAAACTAATGCAGACTTTAGCTGGTTCGCGACTTCATGACAAACTCATTATTCACTGTGTGTTCCTAAAAAGGCGATCAAACTTTCTGTGTGAGTCAGGGAGCCGCTGCTAGCAAACACGGGGCCGACTCACCGAGACGCACGCCACGTGCGCACTGACGGCCTCCCAGCCCCGGCTGTCCCCAGCCTGCCTCTCCTGCCCCATCCGCCGGAGCTGGCACGGCAGGACCTCGCAGTGCTCCCTGGGAGATGGGACCAACACCTTGACACGCTGAGAGCGAGCACTGCTAAATCCTGCTGCAGCGGACGGTGGCCATGTGGGCTGACCAGGCCACCAGGAGTTCCCCCCCGACTCCCAGAGGATGAGGCTTTACACCCGAAGGCACAGCCCAGCTTTGCCCCAGCACTCAGCCACGTGAAGGAGAGGGTTGGGGAACCAGTCGTGGGAAGCCACAGTGGGCACAACTGGACTGGTTTTGTAAGAAACATGGAGGTACCAGGTGGCTGGGGGACGACCAGGATGGCCAGCAACCCCAGGGGATGCAGCTGTGTGTTCCCAGAGAATGGTGGATACCGACTGCTCCACCTGGAAGCAAGGAGATGAGCATCTCACGGGCGCTTTCCCAAAACTGACACTGACAGTATCTATAGGGTCACTCAGTCCAAGGTCGAGAGAAATCGATTCAAATGTAAAGATTACTCCAATTAAGATGATGAAAAAGCATCCTTTAACCAAAACTGCCCGTGTTTTAATTGCATAATGCACTAGGCTACCAACTGTCGGAAGCCTGGGAAGGCCCCAGGGCCAACACCTGACACCAGGGCAGCTTAAATGCAACGCCACGGCATTTACAGGTAGGCTGGGTCCCAAGTGCATCTGCCTTTCCTAAGAGGGGCGGGGGCATTTAACCAGCTTTTCAGACTTAATCATCTGCTAAAATAGAGCGACAGCTTTTCCTTGGTCCTTAACTCTTTAATCAAAAGTTCTTTGTAGTGCTCTGTGTGGGGGATGCTTTCATTTATGAACACAGCAGTTTTATCAATGTAAACTAGGCACTGGAGCACAGGCTGCCTGCCCTCCCTCCATTGAAGCTTGCTCGCAAGCTTGAGTTACTCACAACGTGATTCATAGCAGGTAAAACACATTATGCATTCATTTTTAATCAAGTTATTTCTTCACATAAATAACACTGCTGTGACTAAACATTAGGGAAGCACTAAAAATGCAAAGCTGTAAAGAAAACTGCTGAGAATCACTATGACACTAGGCCATACCTATATTTTTTGCCATCCTCCTTCACTTCTATCATTGCTTCTCTTTTGCTTTACCTCTGAGCTCAAAGTCCTTGGGCGTAGGGACCGTGCCTCATTGCTCCACCTCCTTCCCTCCCTACCTCTTGGCCTCTGGTCCCCTACTCCTCCACCCCAGCTGCTTATTCCCATTGCTGGCACAATGTATATATTCCCAACATTCCCAATGCCGGCACAAAGCGAGGAGTAGCCAGGTGGCCAACCTCATTGAGGAGTCGAGCCACTTCAAAACAAATAATAAGTTTTGCTGGTTGAGTTTTCAGCTGAATCCATCCCCTGACCAGGTTTGTTGTGTGACTACAGAAATGCTACTGGTGGCACAAGAGCATTGGCAGGACGCAGTGCCCAGGAGTCAGGGGAGGAGGCAAGGGCTGACCGTCCCTGCCAGCAGCACAGCTTGTTTATCTGGATTAAAATCTCTGCAACCAATGGCCCTAAAGGTGCCTGGGAACTGCTCAGGGCCTTCCAGCAACAGAAGACACCCCGCCCCGTAGACTTGCACCACCCCACAGGTGTGATTTTAAGAGTAACGACAGTAATGATAGCTAAAAGATTTGCCATGGTAGTCTTATGCGGCTCAAAGTCAGGGTTTGGATACAGTGCACCAAACTCATTTGATAAATTAATTAGGTGAAGCTGCACTGAAATGAGCGGCAAAGGATTTGCCTGCAGCAGCCTCTGAGTGAGAGAAGTTTCCCTTCTTTCTCCCAGGAACCTTTTAGCACTTTCCAGAGTTCAGGGTGTGGAGTTCAAACCAGTACAGTCAGGTTCTCCAGAGCAGATGACTTCAAAAACTCAATTACTTATGCATATGCTGCCACAGCACTCTCTTGTCATGTGGATTTCTCTTAGGCCACTTAAGGGTACACTTTTGCAAATGTATCTCGAACGCTGGGATGGAGGATGCTCTGCAGTAATTACATGCATTACAGAAAAAAGTCAAAAGATCATAAATTAACTTGGTTACACAGGGTGTGGGAAAAGGTACCAGCTATGTATGAAATCAGTGTGATGGGTAATTTGCATTGCAGTACCAGAACGCTCAGAGCACCCTGTCTTCATGCTTCAGTATAAAGTACTCGGTGTTACTGCGTCAAGGTGACAGAACTGGAGTCACTCAACAAAATGATACAGAGCATTTGTTCCATTATCAGTGACTACACCATCTTCTTCTCCTTACTACTCACTACATTTTTGGTTGTTTGAATTACTTCTGTGAATATCACTACAATATAAGCTATTGCCTCCTTCAGCATTTACTGTTGAGTTGATGGACTCAGCTTGGCCAAAAAGTAGCTGCATTTCATCAGATGAAATGGTTTATGCCTTTAGGCCAGAGAAGGACTTATGATTTTTTTTTTTTTGGTGTGTGTCTTTTCTAGAAACAAATGCTACACTTGCCTTCCAGCCAGGTAGCGCAACGTAGGGACTGAGATATATTAGAGAATTTATTTTCTACAGAGGTGTGATACCTGGCTTTTTTTTTTTTTTTTTTTTTTTTTTTTTGTCTTTTTAAAATAGATTTATTTCTAAAAGTGTGATTTATCGGTGTTGCTAGCTGAGTGACTTTAACCTCATGATTTCTGAGAGAAGCCTGAAGACACCTTATGTTCCGAACTTACCCCAAGCCCTCCCAGAGCCAGTAATGCAGTTCAGTGGGGAAACAGAGCAGCAGGGGTAGGAGGGGAAGGATTGCATTTACCCCTCTTGTTCCGAACCACCCCGGGGCTGTCGTTTCCATTCAAACAAACCCTTCCTCCTCATTAAAGACAAAATAAATCATATACGGCTTGGTATGCCACCATCTAGAGAAGACCTTAAAGCATGTGCAGTACCTTTGAACGTGTATATAAGCCTAATGAAATCATTTAATCAATGGGATTGCAAACAGGCTTAAAAGTTTGTATGCTTTGCCTGATTAGGACTAAGGGAATGGGCCCTCGAGGAAGCCAGAAGGAGATCTGATTAGTTTTATTAAGTGTTGATCCAGCTGTTGTATTTATATTCCCCTTATTTATACGAGCAATATTTGTCCAAGCATCTGAATACAAAACAGAAAACTTCACTTGCTGTAAGCACCTACCTAAGTTTGATTAAGGTGGACATAAAAATTCAGTTATAATAATAAAGCAGCACTGGCTGGCTGGACCAGACGATATCTTTTTAGCATTTGTTATTGGTACTGTCACTGCAGAAATCTGTATAATCAGTGCACAAAGGAGGAAAACCAAAAGCTTTTTCTTCTTCTATTGCAAAGCATCAGAGATACTGACCTTGTAATACAGAGGACTACAACACAGATGATAGCAATCTGGATGGTTCCAATCACAGCTGCTATTAAGACATACTGAAATCGTACTGGACCTGGAACCACATATAAAACGCTGTAGTCCTTTTTTTCACAGTGTTGTCCAGTATAGCCGGCATCACATCTGAAAGGAAAAATATTTCTTCCAGTTATATCTGCTGCTTTTGAAGAACGATGAAACAAATTATATCTGAAAAATATAGTATTCAGTGGCTTAAGCACATGCTTATGTGGGGTTTTTTTTGGCAGGATGGGCCCCTGGGAAAGAGCACCGGTGCCTCCTTCAACCTCTGAGAGGGAAAGTTTCAGGTCCCCGGTGCCACTGACCTCTGCGAGAGTGAACGACACTGTGATAGTGCCAGGAGGCGTCCAGGGGACAAGGACTTGTCTAGCATCAAGTGGAACTACTTGCATGTCATATGAGAATCCATTTAGTTCCTTGCACAACGTATTTTAGATTTCTCCCTTTTTCTGGGGAGGTGCGGGAGGGTGAAAAGCCATCTAGTTATGGCTCCTTATGCAGATTACCCCTAAGGAAGTGATAAGCAATCATCCAAGCTCCATATGAAATGTGATTAGATGTTCCTGCAAGTGGATACATCATTTACATTTTGTCTGGTTGCTATAAAAAACCCTTCTGTTGATACTGCAACCATCCACCCCACTGCTGCCTGCCGTGCTGCTCACCAGTTCCCATCCTGCAGCCTGATATCTCCCCTCTGTGATTTTGGGGGACAGTGGTTTTCCCACGGTAGGTCTTGCACTCTTACCCCTAAAAAGCCCAAGCAGGAAGATGTGAAAATCCAGGTCAATGGCAGCAGCAACCATAAGCTTGGGCTCCTCTCAGAAGTGTCAGTGGGGCACTAACCCTGATGGGTTAAGCCTTGAGCTTCCACCCTTTTCCTCTCCCACATTCCCACAGCAGCCAGCAGCTTGAGGAAAGGACATTTTCCAGCTTAATGGAGAATGCAAAATGCAGCAGTTGCAAAGAGCAAAACGTGCCCTGGCTGTTTGGGGGAGCTGGGAGAAGCTGGCTTGAGGATCTGCCCTGGTCCATATATCTTTGCTCTCCCAGTCCTATGTCCTAGGAAAATGCTGTTTCATGCATAATAGTCTTTTTCTTTGCCACCAGGCCACTGGTTGGACTTCAGAAGTAACATCCCCACCTCTGCAGGGAGGCATTCACTGCAGAAACACATGCTTTCACCATTAATTTCCCCATTTCACCTGCCCTAACCTCCTCCAAAGCTACCTCCCGCACAAAGGAGCCACCTTCTCCCCAGCTTGCTGCCCCGCGAGCACCCCTCCTGCCACAGCAGGGACGTATCCCTGGTGGCACTCGTCTCCTTCAGACTGCGGAGGCTACCTAGCAGCTGTCTGAGCACTTTGTGAAGTGCTTTTTAAATATATCTAAATATAACTGCAGGTTACTGAATGTTTTTACAATCAATTAACATTGCGCATAGCTTTTGCACATAAAATGGGGACTTTGTTGAATAATTAAAGTCTAATGGGTTTTGTAGTATAAAGGGCCATGGTTACAATTATTTTCCATAGTTTATCTAGATAAAGTGTTTTGGAAAGTCAGTATTTTCATGTGCGTAGCCTTCCATCCTTGGTAGGAGAAGGGTTACCTGCAAGACGGTTCCAGCATGTTAGTGGAGTGCTCACACTTGCCGTGCATGCAGAAGCCATTGTAATGCTCTGGACAAGGGATGTAGATCCCTCTTGCACTTTCTTCCAGTTTATTTGCATTCTCTGTGAACACAGGTGAAGGGAACATTAACATGACAGTGCAGGAGAAGGCAAAATGATGGCAAGAACTCAACGTATGAAAGAAAGGAAAACCAGAAGAACATGATGTGAAAGGTGTTGTTTACGGGAAGCAAGAGCAAGGGTTTGCACATCTAATTCCTGTCAAGTTACAGCAAACGAGACACCAGAAAAAATAAACTGACTATTCAAAAACTGATTACAGAATAGCACATGAAAAATGCCTAATCATGTCTGTTATCCTCTACAGACTGTCTCCTCACACTCAGGCAAGGCTCAGGACATTTACCTGTAATATACCACTGCAATACATTTGGTCATTCAACACAGCATATTCAGAAAGATAATTTTATGGCTGAAGTAGAGGAGTGGGAGTCCAGAGCTGAAGTTTCTCATCAGTGCCGCACGCCCACGCCCTGGAGCCTGCTGGCCTCCTCCCCATCCCACAGCACGGGTACCTTGAAACCAGTTTGCCTTTCTGTGCCTGCTTCTGCAGCTGTTAAATAGTCACTGAGACTGCAGATCCTGGAAAAGACTTCCTTCCATGTAGCCAGGAAAACAGAGGCTTCATTTAGTTTTGAAACAGGTTACGTGCTCAACATTTACATTACTAGCTGAAAGGCAGAATGTTACTTGCTATAAGCTCACATGAATTTTTTAGGCCACCAAGGTGTGAATTAATCTGGGTAATTTTGGCAAATTCTTCCATTTAACCAATACTTATGATATCTCAAATGGTAAAAATCCTTCTTCTGTGACAGTATCATCTACCCACAATTAATCAAAAACAGAAGAAAAAAACCCCTCATGATAGATGTCTGAGGAAATGTAGTTTGCACACAAGTAAGTTGAAGCATTTGTATCTTCCAAAGGAATTCCCCCTTTCAGTGTCATGAAACAGCTGCAGGTTGTGTTCTGCCTCCAAGCCAGCCGTGCCGGCAGTAGGCATGCTTAGGTATTATCCCACCTTTGGGAAGAATGCGTGCGGCAGATCCAAGGTTCAGATTTTCATGACGAAATTTCTTACCTATCACTGCTGTCCAAGAAGAGTTTCAACAGTCTCTGCCAATTTGCACTGATAAAATTGGTTATATTGCCCTTATGTTAAAACAGGTGAGGACAAGCCCCCAGCAAATGAGAATGACGGGGCACCCTTTACACCCCTGTAGAGAGCTTTAACTTCTCTTTTGTCACTAGGACTTTCAGGACCTCTGCACTGTGGATCATTATTGCATCTTTCTAAATGCACAGATGTTGAACACAAACCCATCTGCCTCTCCTGGTTCCCTGCTTACATTGGGATATCTGTGCGGGGCTGCTGTGAAGGCTGTTAATGACAACGCAGCGCAGAAGTGGGTGTCATGGTGTGGTGACGATTCCTGGGCTTGGGGCTGACCCCTGTCTCTGGGATGGCACAGGCAGGACAGGATGACAGGAGGCATGCTATAGGCATGGCAAAACCTCCTTCGAGAGCTTGCCCAGGGATTTCTGCTACTGGAAAGAGCTGGGAGTAGAAGGCCCATTTGGTCTGGCACTAAACATTTTTTGCTACCCTCTAGGTGAGGCACTGGCTACCAGCATGTGAAATATATACATAAGAGTTATTATCCCACCAGGACTTCATGCATGTTCCTTTTTTCCACCTGGAAATCTTCCTGGAACAGAAAAATACGTGTGTGACATATGCCAGCTATCAATGGACTTGCCCAGCGCACACAGGTAGATCCTGATGCGCTCAGGACTTGTTAGACTCCATACACGTGTAGTGACCAGCTGTGCACCATGCCTGATGGCTACTGGGTGTGATGGACCTCAGCTATGGTCTGCATTCAAATACATATCTGTCCTGAAAACTGCAGGAAGAAATATAGGATCCTCATTAATAAATATTTTTTTCTATGGTGGAAAATATTTCCCTCAAATCTTCCACTAGTGGGAGTTTGCTTCCTTTCTGAAGAACAGGAGACTGCTCTCTGTGTGTGTGCATGCTTGCATGCGTAACTCCAGTCCTTCCTTCTCAGGCACACAGAATCACAAAATCGCAAGGGTTGGAAGGGACCTCGGGAGATCATCCAGTCCAACCCCCCTGCTAAAGCAGGTTCTCCTAGAGCAGGTTGCACAGGACTACATCCAGGCGGGCTTTGAATATCTCCAGAGAAGGAGACTCCACAGCCCCCCTGGGCAGCCTGTTCCAGTGCTCCGTCACCCTCAGAGTAAAGAAGTTTTTCCTCATATTCAACTGAAACCTCTTATGTCTCAGTTTGTACCCATTGCCCCTTGTCCTGCTGCTGGACACCACTGCAAAGAGTCTAGCTCTGTCCTTATGACTTCCACCCTTAAGATATTTGTATGTATTGATGAGGTCCCCTCTCAGTCTTCTCTTCTTCAGGCTGAACAAGGTACCCAGGCGCCTTGGTGATGTCTGTGTGCCACCATCACCAACCAGCGTGAGAATCCCTGCTCTCTCAGATGAGCCAGCAGTGTTGCTAAAACGGTAGGATGCCATTTGGTTTCTGGTTTTTTTTAAAGGCACGCTTCAAGATGGTGAGGGAAATCATTACTTCCAGGACAGACTAATCCTCCAGGACTGGAAAGGGGGACCAGGACCTCTCTCCCAGACTTGCAGATGCTCTCACTGTATGTGGGCTGTAGGGCTGGTAAAAAGAGGAATGATTTTGCCTCCTCCTGCAATCATGTGGGTGGAAACCATGTTTTGTTTAAAAAGGTCTCTAGTATACTTTCTAGGATCCTGCAGAACTTGTAATTACACCTCTAAGTGTAATGTTCTGATGGAGCATGCTTTACTGAATCAAAAATGAGATGGCCCAAGCTCTGCTGGCACTTCATAGGACAAACACTTCATATGGGAACACTTGTCATCTGGCTGGGGAGAAACCACAAATCTTAGACACGAATTGTCTGTAGTCCCTCATTTTGACTGATGACTCCTCTAATAGAGTTAGGGATTGAACATAAAGGCAGAAAGGGGGAAAAAACATGTATTTATTTTGATCTGCCATTTTGGTCATTCAAAAGACAGACCGCACTGAAAGCATCATTTACTTCAGACAGAGAAGTTCCCCTCCTCTTCTGGCACATTTTCAATTCCCCCAAAATAATTCCCCTGCCTCAAACCAGGTTATTTTTCTCATTACACAAAACATCTTTTCAGATTCAAAACAGAGACCCAAACACCACAACATGCTTTAAAAGTTCTTTCATGTTAAAACTGATTGCTCTCATTACTGAAGGATCTGAGCACTTTCCAGTAATCCAGCCATCGATGAAATACTATCATGAATGGATCACAGGGTTTACATCACTATGAAACAAGAACTAGAAATCATTTCTAAAAAGAGAGGATATGAATAAAAAACATGTTTAAATTATGAATCAGGTAAGAATGGCATAAAGTTCAAAAAAGTAAAACTGCATGAAATAAATTAAGACTTGCCCCCGTATTATAATTTTGGATTACTTATATATTCAGTACTGGAGGCAATCCTCACTAATCAGATTATAGTATCACCAACCTTGGGAGCCCATCTGCCACACCAACCGTACACCCACCAAGAGAAAAGCTGAAATGGAAAGCTACCCAATTTTCTTCCAAACAGAGCAGAGCGGTATTCACAGAGCAACCACACAGAGCAAACTCAAAGTTTGTCAGTAAAGTTAAATTCGGTAACTCCTCTTCAAACATTAGACGTGCTGCACTGTTATTGGCAACTACATGTGAAAGTTTTATTTACACCAAAAAGACAGATTTGTACCTTTTTGCGATGGCTAGAGTTTGAGACAGAAGCTGTAAAGCCTGAAGATAAAAATTGGACTGGGTCAGTCTCTCCTCTCTCTGGACAAAAGCAATCCCTGCCACATTTCTCAAAACGCTTCCCTTTTTTATTTTAAAAAGAAATACACCCTTGCCCTCCAGATCAGCTGTATTCAGAAATCTTTTTCTTGAAGCATTTTGCTGATAGAAAATGTCACTTTGATGAAGCCAACATCTTTTGCATTTCTGCAACATTTTTTGCATCTTTAGCCTAACATGACATTTCATATTGTTCACATCTTTTGTTAGTGCCAGAACATGACATGATAGCCTATCGTATAAGATATACTAGTCACAACAGATTATTTTTAAATGCACTGAGGCCAGATGCTACTTTGTGTAGACTGAAACAGCTTATCATCTTGCTTACTAGAAGTCTCCCCGTTGAACACTTGCTCTCCAACCTTTCTGTGGATGGCAGGGAGCTGCCGAGATGATGAGCTATTTCGCTGGGGTAGCAAATTGGATCCTGAAAAGTTATCCTGTGTGACTAACCACCCGCTCGGTGATCTTGCTTTTGCTGATGGATTATCATCTGAAATGTTAAATAAATTATTTAAAGCCATCTTGTCTAAATTCCTTAACCTATGGCTGTTCCTATCCTCTGTTAAGAAGCAGCGGAAGAATTATTTCAAACATATTTTGTATTATTTTTATTTTAATTTCTGGTTTAGCTATGCCTTTACTTCAAAGTTTTTGGAAGCTGAATGTGCACTATTAGGATTCTCAGGTAAAAATCTCGGTGAAGGCTGAAATTCAAAAGCCGAAACAGGCTACGTGGTTGCAGGACCTGACTCTGCAAGTGATGAGAACAACGCAGCCAGATTCTTCTCTGGGCGGCCCTCACTGGTCCCCAGCTCCCATCTGAGCTCACACGGAGCTTCTGTTCCACAACTGAACATGTGGAGTAGCTCCGCTGACAAACGAATAAATCCATTAGTGCCCTTGATGAGGATTATATGAAGTACTGCCTGGAGTGCCCAGAAAATTCTTCCCAGACATAAGTTCCTGCAATCCACTTTGGAGAAATTAGATAAAAATCTAAGCAAAAATAGGATTCTTATGTCCAAAAATTGACTGCCAGGCACTTAACAATCAGTTCTGCAGGGCTGATAATTCTGTCGTTCTTTACGTATGAATCAGTGAGACTTGC